CACCCGCAGCAATTGTGGATCGAGCAAGCAGCTAGAGCTCTCGTCTCAGTTCTCACCTGCATATACTGTCTCACGACAAACAGCTAAAACACTCTGTTCATATACACATCTTCATTGCCCATGGCGGCCATCAAGCTCCCTATCGCCATGATCGCCCAACTTCTTCTGCCAACTCGCGGATGGGAGGTTGTGGCCAACAAGGCGGCGCCCGACGTGCAGCTGATCCAGACTCACGTCTTGGACCACGGTTCCCACGTGCCAGCGCGCGGATCGTCTGGTTGTGTTGACAACGATGCAGGTGCAGTCCAACTTGCAAAAGATCATGTACGCGTGGACGACGTCAGTGGTTGTTCGGATGTCGGGCCGTACTGTGCGGACACGAACCTGTCGAGCCAAGTTCAGGCAGTGTGCTGCGCCACCTGCAGCCAGGGGCCCGAACCAGAGCTGGACGTGGTGCATTGCCAGGAACACTCTGATTGCCAGGATTCGGAATTCTGCTACGATGGTACGTGCGACAGCTGCAGCCAGTGCCAATTCTGCTCCGATGCTGCCTACGTCGACGAGTGTGGGCACTGCGGGCCTGGGTTCCCCTTACACGAGACAACTCCCTGCCACTCCCATGAATACGTGGTCACCAATGGGGAGCTTACGGTCACACACGCGTGGAAAAATCTTTCTTCAGATGAGCAGCTGCTATTCCTGGAGAAAATGTTTGGCGAGCTCGACAAGGACAAGTCTTCGACCCTGGACGTGGACGAGCTTGTGGGAACCCTGACTGGACAGGACCTCGTCGCGATCGAAGCTGCCAACGGCACGCTCAACGCCCCCTTCGACAGCGTCTTGCTTCCCAGGGCTTCGGTAGAAGAGTTTGTGGATAAGCACAGCGCCCACGGGAATGCGTTCCTGACCCTCGACGAGTGGCTCGCCACGACTCCTCAGCCCGCACAACGAGCTGCATCGCAGAAGGCGTTGCGCGGGCCCTCGTGCACCTTCGAGAGTATCTTCTCACTTCCCAGCACGTGCTCGGAAACACAATGGGTGAACAATTGCGGCAACGCTTGCAGTAACAGTTGCACCAGCTGCCCGAGGTTGGCGCACACGAATTCGAGCTCTGTGGCACGCGTTTCCAGAGATTCGAGCTCCGTCGCGCGAACGTCCCAGGAGCTTGAGTTCTGGGGCGGACGGCGTCGGCGTCGTTGGTGGAGCGTCGTCACGGATGTGGTAGACACGGTCGTAAACGTGGTTGTCTGCACTGTGAGTTGCGTCACCAACTGCGTGTGGTCGTGCTTCACCGAGGCAGTGGAGTACGTGTACACGTGCGTGGTCGACACTGTAGTAAATGTGCTCATGAGCTTCGGAGAGTGCCTCTCGGCCGTGGTGAACGCCGTCAACGATGCGGTTGGTAACATGTGCGGCTTCGATCTCATCCCCACAAGCTGTTCTGGCGTCTGGGATTGCATTTCGGAGGGGGCGAGCAACGCTCTCTCATTCTTCGAGTGTGGATTCTCGATACTTTTGGATGTGCTCGAGAACATGGTCATGGCAAATCTTCGCTGCCTGCCGAACATCGCCGACGGCATCAGGGCGGCCCTGTTTCCTCCCGAAGCGATCATTGCAACTACGGTCTTCGAGGCGTTGTGGGATTTCGGCGAGAGGGTCGTGAACGGGATCTACTCAGAAGCTGCGGCCGTGAGCATCGACTTCTGTTGGAACTCAGCCCCCACCGCCGAATTCACTGACTGTGGTGCCTTCGATTTCGTCAGCAGTATGACTATTTGGGACGTGCTTGACGTTTTCGGGATGGCCCAGCGTTTCGCGGATACCGTGGCGAAGTTCACGAATTGCCTTACGAAGTCAACAAGCCTCCCGGGGCTCAGTTTCGGCATCCCCACTCCCTACTTGAACGTTGACTGGACAGGAGGCTCGTGGTGTGCGCCAAGTTTTGTCCAAACTGCGGCCAAAGGAGTCATTGGCGTGTTCAGGTACATATCTTCAGGACGGATGCTCGATGACCTCATCATTGTAGGTGACAACCTCCTCACCAATCTTCAAACGAGGTTGGAAGCAGTGTTCTGTGACGAAGGCGACTTCACCATCACATTGGGCGTCGACCTCCAGTTCGGATACGTAGTGCTTGGAATCAAGGCCCAGGCTGGATGCCTCAATGGCAGATTCGCGGCCAAGATTGTCGGTTTTGTTACGGGCAGAATTTCCATCTTCGGTTCGCCGTACAAGTGGGAGCCGAGCGCCTCTGCGTTCTTCAGTATCGGTTGCACGGCGGGCCCCTCCAGCACGGAGTGGTCGTACTGGGAGTCGTCTCTGAGCGGCAGCCTGGCGTTCGATATTTTCTCGGGGTCGGTCTCTCTGCCCCTCTATCCACAGCCGAAGCTCGAGTTTGGCTACCAGTTCTCGCTCAAACTCTGGCCCCAACCAGCCCCTCCACCTCGTCTGTCGGAGGGGGAGTTCAACAAGACGTCGCTGCTGCCGGCGCTGCGCCTCCTCTCTGGGGCTACGTCCGACCCCAGCTTCGGCGAAAACGTCAAGAGCAAGTTTCCAGACCCCAAGCCGATCCTCGAGGGGGCCCGCAACGGCTCGCTCGAGAGGTCCAGCATGAACAGGAGTGCCGGTGACCTCGCCGGCAGGATCGCCATCTCCGTCACGAAGAATTTTTGCTTCACCTGTGACGATTTCGGATCGGAGCCTGCCTGGGTCACAGGTCTTTCCAACATGGCTCAGAAGTTCGCCTGCTCTGTGGGCCAGGCGATGGCGGGAGCATCCTGGGGTGCACTGAGCCTCGCCCAGTGCTTCGCCCAGGTGGCGCAGTGGGAGGCGGCCGGGAACTACTGCGAGTACTTGTACTCCGACTCGCCGAACGATGGCTCCGGCAGCCCGGGGACCACTTGCGCCTGTATGCCGCCGAATGCGATGTCTTCCGGGGCTTGCCACGCAGCGGTTGGAACCAGGGCCAGCGAGGGGTCTGCGCAGTTCGTGACCTACCGGCATCAGAGGTTGACCTGCGAGACTGGGAGCGGAGCGGCCTGCAAGACTTGTGTAACGCCGCAGGACCGAGTGGTGAGAGACCAGTGTGAGACCTGCAACGACGGGCACATGTTGCTCGGCTATGTGTGCTCGGCCTACACTCCGTCGCCGACGCCACATCCGACGCAGTATCCGACGCCAAGCCCGACCCCATATCCAACGCCATATCCGACGCCGAGCCCGACGCCAAGCCCGACGCCAAGCCCGACGCCATTGCCACCCGGCGCCACGCATTCTCCGACGCCAAGCCCGACGCCAAGCCCGACGTCGTTTCCGACGCAGTATCCGACGAGAAACCCGACCTCGTATCCGACGCCAAGCCCGACGCCGTATCCGACGCCAGACCCGACACCCCATCCGACGCCAGCTTTGGCGGGGGATTCATGGGTACAACTGTTGGACAATTTTGAATACTACGGCGTCGCTATGCCCTCATATGTTACACCTATGGCCTATGGTTCGTTCACACAGCTGCGAGCAACTTACGTAGGCGGACCCGGCATCTGGTGCGATACGAGAAGGTCGGGAGGCACCGTGTGGCAACAGTGCTGCTGTGGGTATAGCGGGTCCTTCGAATTCATGAAGAATGGAGGGTACATCTTGTCGCAAAGCCAGTGGGGTACGTTGCCGCCCCAGTGCTCAGTGTCTGGGTACACAGTCACTTGCAACGTTAATTTTGCTCTGTCGAGTGGCGATACGATCCTCGCTACTTGGATGGAGCCTTCCCGGGGGGTGTCGCTTGCTGACAATGGCGGCAGCATCGTGGTGGACGTGTACGGATATGGAACGGTATCGCAAGGTTGGTCTAAAATATACCAGATCCAGGATGGCGATAGGGGGTCCTATTCTTTCCCCTTGACAACCGGCGCTTATGGTAGCATTTCCTCGGCGATCGGTTCAAGTCATGCAAAGTTGTCAGATTCTGAGATCAACTCCATGGCGGTGGCGAGGGACGGCTACTCGCACGTTTATCAAATCAAGAGTTCGGATTGCTCTTCGTACCTGTACATCAAGTCGAACGACGCTTACGTTGACACATCGGCATCATTCGGCCTTACCAAGGGCAATACTTTGGTTGGGCTTGGGACCTCATATGGGGCGGTGTCGACATGGGCCACTTTGCCTTCCACCAGCCACGGCATAGACTTACTCTACACCAGCCCCAATCTCGGTGGGGAGTCGTGCTGCCGTTATTTCTTCGGGCATGGGTCGGTCGATTGTTGGGCCGGCCCCTCGGGTTACCGCTGCGTCAACGGTGGGTCCGCTTGCTCCAGCTATAAGAAGCTGGAAGATGTCGCGTTCTACATCTGGGCGGGCGGAGCGACGTACAGTCCCACGTCCTACCCGACCCCTCGCCCAACGCCCTTCCCGACGGCCCACCCGACGCCAGACCCGACGCCCCTCCCGACCCCAGTTCCCACGCCCTACCCGACGAAGCATCCAACGCCAAACCCCACGCACAGCCCGACTCCAAGCCCGACGCTGTACCCGACGCCGTTTCCGACGCCAAGCCCGACGGCGAGCCCGACTCCAAGCCCGACGCCGAGCCCGACGGCGACGCCGACGGCGAGCCCGACGGCAACCCCGACTGCATATCCAACGCCAAGTCCGACGCCAAGCCCGACGCCAATCCCGACGCGGATCCCCACGTCTGCGCCCACCTACCCCCCGCTTGGGGACCTGGCATCCTCGGGCACTTGCAGCTGCTCCAGCCCCCCCTGCGGCTGCAACTGCTGGGATTGCACACACGAGCGTAAAGCTACTGGATGCTGCAGCTGCGGGGATGCTTCGAGTTGCGGTTATGCAGACGTGGTTTCTTCCGTGTGCGACGGCTGCAATGGTTGTTGGCGCAATGGCAAGTGTGGTTGCAGCACAGACTCGGCTACCTGGCCCTACTATGAGGCATTCGGTCTCACGTGCTCGAGTGATAGAGGCAGCTACCTGTCCTACCACTACGTGTCACCGACGCCGGCTCCAACGCCAAGCCCGACGCCAAGCCCGACACCATTGCCACCTGGCGTCACGCTGTCTCCGACCCCGAGCCCGACGCCAAGTCCGACGCCAAGCCCGACGCCAAGCCCGACGCTCTCGGAGGCGCAGAAAACTTGCGGGTGCTCGAGCCCACCCTGTGGTTGCAACTGCTGGGATTGCACAGAAGCGCGCAAAGCTGCTGGATGCTGCAGCTGTGAGGATGGTTGTGGCTTTTTCGATCTCGCAAATTCTAAGTGCGATGGCTGCAATGGTTGCTGGCACGGTGGCCTCTGCGGTTGCAGCACCGAACCGTCTACCTGGCTTTACTATAGGGCATTCGGTCTCACGTGCTCGAATGAAACAGGCAGTTACTTGTCTAATTACGCACAGATCGCTGGCGAGTACACCACGGAGGAAACTCTTCCAGATGGCGTGACTGCGGAGGATCTCATGAGTTCCGCTACCTACGTGGCCGCCAAGAGGACTGGCCTGGCCAACGCTCTGAACGTGACTGCCTCCGACATTGAAATCACGGGCTTCGCCATCACGAGCCATCCCGATCGGATCCCCTCTGCTGCCCGCCAGCTCTCGCGGGACTCACATGTCACCGTAACGACGAAGTTCACGGTGCAGATCGCTGGCAGCAACAGTGCCGAATCTCTCACCGCCGCGATTGCTGGAATGTCTGCCGCCGTTGAGGCCGAGACCAACTTGGCTATGGCTGCTTCTGACTGGAGTAGTGAACCGGTCATTACCGTGGCCCCTACGCTGACGGCTCCCTCCGTCGGCGCCGCGGGTTCGACTGCGGGAGTGACCAGTGCTCCCACGCCGGTTCCCGTGATCATGGGGGCCAGCATGGGCGCCGTCGCGGGCACCGGCGATCCCCACTTGCAGAACATCCTCGGCGAGCGCTTCGACCTCATGCAGGCGTCCGCCGCAAAACAAATACACAGACGCCCTCCAGTGGATTGTTCCTAGGCCTCTGTGGAGGGTGGCGGTGTATCAATCATCACTGGGAGCCTGCGACTTTTTACACACCGCCACCCTCCCTGAACGCACACGCAAAGCTCGTCGGCGGGTGTCTGTGTATCTATTTTTGTGGCGCAAGGCGGGCAGGCACGTCTTGGTCCAAATCCCGAGGGGCGCGCGCACCGATGGCACCCTGCTGCGCGTCGAGGCGGAGGCGCAGAGGCTCGGCCAGCTGTGCGCGGACATGTACTTCCAGGAGCTGAACCTCACGGGGAAGTGGGTGGAGGCAAAGCAGGCTGGCGGTCTCCGGTGCTCAGAGGATGAAAAGGTACCCATGCCGCTGCCCTTCCCTCGTTTTCCCCCTTCTTGGGCCCCCAGGGAGGCCCTCGTCGCCACCGCTGGATTCGCTTCGAAATTCTGGTCAGAAGGCACCCCAGGAGAGGTCCGGGAAGTAGCAGTATCGGTGTCTTTTGGTTTCCCCAGGTACCGCGCAGCAGAGGCCGTCACCGCAGATCCCAAGTGGGTGCAGTTTGGGAGGGTGGACCTCAAAGTCGCTCACGGACATACGCTGGAGGGGATCCGCTACCTCAACGTTTACGCGAAGCACTTGAACCGCGCTGGGTTCTCCGTCGGAGGCTTGCTGGGCGAAGACGATCACAGCAAGGAAGCGACCTCTCCCAAGAGCTGTAAGCATCGTCGGATGACTCTATGACGGCCAGAGCATGCCCGCCGTCTCCAGCATGGAGCCCAGCTGGACCAGCTTGGTGTAAGATGCGTTGCCAGTCCCTTTTGATCCCCTCGCGGGCTCTGCTCACGGCGGGCTTCGCCACCTCAGTAAGGGTACAAGAACTCCTGACCTCAACAACACTGGGCCGACTTTTTTGGGCCGACTTCGTCGTCCTATCTCCGGCTATGGCCGTGGGTTCTTCAGCACGTGCCGCTCGCGCCTGGGCGAGTTAGGCTGCGAGGCTGATCTTCTGACCACTTCCGCTTGCGGCCAGATCAACAGTTTGCAAGCATCTTCCTCAGGCGTTCTGTCTCCCCACTGCTCACTGCTCACATCGATAGTCTCCTCGGGGCGGGTGGAGGAGGAGTATATTCTAGAGGCCTCCGGCCTGTGCCGCCGAGTCGGGACGCTCCAGGACGCTCCTTGCGGACTCGTCATGTTTGATAGTTTGTGAGTTTTCCTCGAGGAGGCAGGAGGGAGGATGAGGGCAACGTCCGACGTTTCGAAGGTTCCAGAATCACTTGGAACGGTTCCGGGGTGATTCTGAAACCCTGACGCTCAGCGTTTCCAGTTCCAGAATCACCCTGGAGCCGTTCCGGGGTGACAAATCATCTGAGGCCCTTTCGGGATATTTTCCAAAAGGCCTTATTGAGCTCCTCACAGAAGGCCTTTGTTGAGTTCCTTACAGAAGGCCTTATTCAGCTCCTTACAGAAGGCCTTACTGAGCTCCTCACAGAAGGCCTTTGTTGAGCTCCTTACTGAAGGCCTTTGTTGAGCTCCGTACAGGAGGCCTTATTGAGCTCCGTACAGACGGCCTCATTGAGCTCCTTACACAGAAGGCGTTATTGGGCTCCTTACTGAAGGCCTTACTGGGCTCCTCACAGAAGGCCTTATTGGGTTCCGTACTGAAGACCTTACTGTGGCGTCAAACAATCTCTCGGGCGGAAGGCCGGTCCTAGGGGCTGGGTCGAGACTTTGGGGGTCGGCATACCAACCAAACACAAGACATCGGATGTTTGGGTTCCCCTCATTGGGCTCACCCTCCAGTGCAGGCCAAAGGTTTCAGTAAAATCGCGGGTCCTCATCCTCGATCCTCGTTCCTCGAATCTAGACCCCCCCCCTCACCTCCGTCTCTTGCGGGACTAGTTTTGATTACTTGTTTTGGCTATTTTTACCCGACCTAACCCTCGGGTGGCGGCCGGGCGGGAACCGTTCATGCTACGAAAGGTTCTTTAGAACGGATGCCCTACACTCCAGGTCTCCTAAATGGGGTCCGAGTAGATGAGGTCGGAGGATCGCGCCGCATCGCCGATGTATCGGCGATGCAGCTCGATGTGGAGCCTGTGTTTCCCCACGCCGACGTCGCCGATGCATTGCCGACGTCGCCGATGCATCGCCGATGCATCGCCGATACATCGGCGATGCATTGGCGATGCGGCGCGATCCTTCGACCCCATCTACTCGGACCTCATCTAGGAGGCTTCTAAGAACATCGCAATCAACAAAGCTAGCAGGACCCGGGAACCGTTCGTGCTACGAGAGGTTCTTCAGAACGGATGCCCTACACCCGCAGCAATTGTGGATCGAGCAAGCAGCTAGAGCTCTCGTCTCAGTTCTCACCTGCATATACTGTCTCACGACAAACAGCTAAAACACTCTGTTCATATACACATCTTCATTGCCCATGGCGGCCATCAAGCTCCCTATCGCCATGATCGCCCAACTTCTTCTGCCAACTCGCGGATGGGAGGTTGTGGCCAACAAGGCGGCGCCCGACGTGCAGCTGATCCAGACTCACGTCTTGGACCACGGTTCCCACGTGCCAGCGCGCGGATCGTCTGGTTGTGTTGACAACGATGCAGGTGCAGTCCAACTTGCAAAAGATCATGTACGCGTGGACGACGTCAGTGGTTGTTCGGATGTCGGGCCGTACTGTGCGGACACGAACCTGTCGAGCCAAGTTCAGGCAGTGTGCTGCGCCACCTGCAGCCAGGGGCCCGAACCAGAGCTGGACGTGGTGCATTGCCAGGAACACTCTGATTGCCAGGATTCGGAATTCTGCTACGATAGTACGTGCGACAGCTGCAGCCAGTGCCAATTCTGCTCCGATGCTGCCTACGTCGACGAGTGTGGGCACTGCGGGCCTGGGTTCCCCTTACACGAGACAACTCCCTGCCACTCCCATGAATACGTGGTCACCAATGGGGAGCTTACGGTCAACACGCGTGGAAAAATCTTTCTTCAGATGAGCAGCTGCTATCCTGGAGAGAAATGTTTGGCGAGCTCGACAAGGACAAGTCTTCGACCCTGGACGTGGACGAGCTTGTGGGAACCCTGACTGGACAGGACTCGTCGCGATCGAAGCTGCCAACGGGCACGCTCAACGCCCCCTTCGACAGCGTCTTGCTTCCCAGGGCTTCGGTAGAAGAGTTTGTGGATAAGCACAGCGCCCACGGGAATGCGTTCCTGACCCTCGACGAGTGGCTCGCCACGACTCCTCAGCCCGCACACGAGCTGCATCGCAGAAGGCGTTGCGCGGGCCCTCGTGCACCTTCGAGAGTATCTTCTCACTTCCCAGCACGTGCTCGGAAACACAATGGGTGAGACAATTGCGGAAACGCTTGCAGTAACAGTTGCACCAGCTGCCCGAGGTTGGCGCACACGAATTCGAGCTCTGTGGCACGCGTTTCCAGAGATTCGAGCTCCGTCGCGCGAACGTCCAGGAGCTTGAGTTCTGGGGCGGACGGCGTCGGCGTCGTTGGTGGAGCGTCGTCACGGATGTGGTAGACACGGTCGTAAACGTGGTTGTCTGCACTGTGAGTTGCGTCACCAACTGCGTGTGGTCGTGCTTCACCGAGGCAGTGGAGTACGTGTACACGTGCGTGGTCGACACTGTAGTAAATGTGCTCATGAGCTTCGGAGAGTGCCTCTCGGCCGTGGTGAACGCCGTCAACGATGCGGTTGGTAACATGTGCGGCTTCGATCTCATCCCCACAAGCTGTTCTGGCGTCTGGGATTGCATTTCGGAGGGGGCGAGCAACGCTCTCTCATTCTTCGAGTGTGGATTCTCGATACTTTGGATGTGCTCGAGAACATGGTCATGGCAAATCTTCGCTGCCTGCCGAACATCGCCGACGGCATCAGGGCGGCCCTGTTTCCTCCCGAAGCGATCATTGCAACTACGGTCTTCGAGGCGTTGTGGGATTTCGGCGAGAGGGTCGTGAACGGGATCTACTCAGAAGCTGCGGCCGTGAGCATCGACTTCTGTTGGAACTCAGCCCCCACCGCCGAATTCACTGACTGTGGTGCCTTCGATTTCGTCAGCAGTATGACTATTTGGGACGTGCTTGACGTTTTCGGGATGGCCCAGCGTTTCGCGGATACCGTGGCGAAGTTCACGAATTGCCTTACGAAGTCAACAAGCCTCCCGGGGCTCAGTTTCGGCATCCCCACTCCCTACTTGAACGTTGACTGGACAGGAGGCTCGTGGTGTGCGCCAAGTTTTGTCCAAACTGCGGCCAAAGGAGTCATTGGCGTGTTCAGGTACATATCTTCAGGACGGATGCTCGATGACCTCATCATTGTAGGTGACAACCTCCTCACCAATCTTCAAACGAGGTTGGAAGCAGTGTTCTGTGACGAAGGCGACTTCACCATCACATTGGGCGTCGACCTCCAGTTCGGATACGTAGTGCTTGGAATCAAGGCCCAGGCTGGATGCCTCAATGGCAGATTCGCGGCCAAGATTGTCGGTTTTGTTACGGGCAGAATTTCCATCTTCGGTTCGCCGTACAAGTGGGAGCCGAGCGCCTCTGCGTTCTTCAGTATCGGTTGCACGGCGGGCCCCTCCAGCACGGAGTGGTCGTACTGGGAGTCGTCTCTGAGCGGCAGCCTGGCGTTCGATATTTTCTCGGGGTCGGTCTCTCTGCCCCTCTATCCACAGCCGAAGCTCGAGTTTGGCTACCAGTTCTCGCTCAAACTCTGGCCCCAACCAGCCCCTCCACCTCGTCTGTCGGAGGGGGAGTTCAACAAGACGTCGCTGCTGCCGGCGCTGCGCCTCCTCTCTGGGGCTACGTCCGACCCCAGCTTCGGCGAAAACGTCAAGAGCAAGTTTCCAGACCCCAAGCCGATCCTCGAGGGGGCCCGCAACGGCTCGCTCGAGAGGTCCAGCATGAACAGGAGTGCCGGTGACCTCGCCGGCAGGATCGCCATCTCCGTCACGAAGAATTTTTGCTTCACCTGTGACGATTTCGGATCGGAGCCTGCCTGGGTCACAGGTCTTTCCAACATGGCTCAGAAGTTCGCCTGCTCTGTGGGCCAGGCGATGGCGGGAGCATCCTGGGGTGCACTGAGCCTCGCCCAGTGCTTCGCCCAGGTGGCGCAGTGGGAGGCGGCCGGGAACTACTGCGAGTACTTGTACTCCGACTCGCCGAACGATGGCTCCGGCAGCCCGGGGACCACTTGCGCCTGTATGCCGCCGAATGCGATGTCTTCCGGGGCTTGCCACGCAGCGGTTGGAACCAGGGCCAGCGAGGGGTCTGCGCAGTTCGTGACCTACCGGCATCAGAGGTTGACCTGCGAGACTGGGAGCGGAGCGGCCTGCAAGACTTGTGTAACGCCGCAGGACCGAGTGGTGAGAGACCAGTGTGAGACCTGCAACGACGGGCACATGTTGCTCGGCTATGTGTGCTCGGCCTACACTCCGTCGCCGACGCCACATCCGACGCAGTATCCGACGCCAAGCCCGACCCCATATCCAACGCCATATCCGACGCCGAGCCCGACGCCAAGCCCGACGCCAAGCCCGACGCCATTGCCACCCGGCGCCACGCATTCTCCGACGCCAAGCCCGACGCCAAGCCCGACGTCGTTTCCGACGCAGTATCCGACGAGAAACCCGACCTCGTATCCGACGCCAAGCCCGACGCCGTATCCGACGCCAGACCCGACACCCCATCCGACGCCAGCTTTGGCGGGGGATTCATGGGTACAACTGTTGGACAATTTTGAATACTACGGCGTCGCTATGCCCTCATATGTTACACCTATGGCCTATGGTTCGTTCACACAGCTGCGAGCAACTTACGTAGGCGGACCTGGCATCTGGTGCGATACGAGAAGGTCGGGAGGCACCGTGTGGCAACAGTGCTGCTGTGGGTATAGCGGGTCCTTCGAATTCATGAAGAATGGAGGGTACATCTTGTCGCAAAGCCAGTGGGGTACGTTGCCGCCCCAGTGCTCAGTGTCTGGGTACACAGTCACTTGCAACGTTAATTTTGCTCTGTCGAGTGGCGATACGATCCTCGCTACTTGGATGGAGCCTTCCCGGGGGGTGTCGCTTGCTGACAATGGCGGCAGCATCGTGGTGGACGTGTACGGATATGGAACGGTATCGCAAGGTTGGTCTAAAATATACCAGATCCAGGATGGCGATAGGGGGTCCTATTCTTTCCCCTTGACAACCGGCGCTTATGGCAGCATTTCCTCGGCGATCGGTTCAAGTCATGCAAAGTTGTCAGATTCTGAGATCAACTCCATGGCGGTGGCGAGGGACGGCTACTCGCACGTTTATCAAATCAAGAGTTCGGATTGCTCTTCGTACCTGTACATCAAGTCGAACGACGCTTACGTTGACACATCGGCATCATTCGGCCTTACCAAGGGCAATACTTTGGTTGGGCTCGGGACCTCATATGGGGCGGTGTCGACATGGGCCACTTTGCCTTCCACCAGCCACGGCATAGACTTACTCTACACCAGCCCCAATCTCGGTGGGGAGTCGTGCTGCCGTTATTTCTTCGGGCATGGGTCGGTCGATTGTTGGGCCGGCCCCTCGGGTTACCGCTGCGTCAACGGTGGGTCCGCTTGCTCCAGCTATAAGAAGCTGGAAGCTGTCGCGTTCTACATCTGGGCGGGCGGAGCGACGTACAGTCCCACGTCCTACCCGACCCCTCGCCCAACGCCCTTCCCGACGGCCCACCCGACGCCAGACCCGACGCCCCTCCCGACCCCAGTTCCCACGCCCTACCCGACGAAGCAGCCAACGCCAAACCCCACGCACAGCCCGACTCCAAGCCCGACGCTGTACCCGACGCCGTTTCCGACGCCAAGCCCGACGGCGAGCCCGACTCCAAGCCCGACGCCGAGCCCGACGGCGACGCCGACGGAGAGCCCGACGGCAACCCCGACTGCATATCCAACGCCAAGTCCGACGCCAAGCCCGACGCCAATCCCGACGCGGATCCCCACGTCTGCGCCCACCTACCCCCCGCTTGGGGACCTGGCATCCTCGGGCACTTGCAGCTGCTCCAGCCCCCCCTGCGGCTGCAACTGCTGGGATTGCACACAAGAGCGTAAAGCTGCTGGATGCTGCAGCTGCGGGGATGCTTCGAGTTGCGGTTATGCAGACGTGGTTTCTTCCGTGTGCGACGGCTGCAATGGTTGTTGGCGCAATGGAAAGTGTGGTTGCAGCACAGACTCGGCTACCTGGCCCTACTATGAGGCATTCGGTCTCACGTGCTCGAGTGATAGAGGCAGCTACCTGTCCTACCACTACGTGTCACCGACGCCGGCTCCAACGCCAAGCCCGACGCCAAGCCCGACACCATTGCCACCTGGCGTCACGCTGTCTCCGACCCCGAGCCCGACGCCAAGTCCGACGCCAAGCCCGACGCCAAGCCCGACGCTCTCGGAGGCGCAGAAAACTTGCGGGTGCTCGAGCCCACCCTGTGGTTGCAACTGCTGGGATTGCACAGAAGCGCGCAAAGCTGCTGGATGCTGCAGCTGTGAGGATGGTTGTGGCTTTTTCGATCTCGCAAATTCTAAGTGCGATGGCTGCAATGGTTGCTGGCACGGTGGCCTCTGCGGTTGCAGCACCGAACCGTCTACCTGGCTTTACTATCGGGCATTCGGTCTCACGTGCTCGAATGAAACAGGCAGTTACTTGTCTAATTACGCACAGATCGCTGGCGAGTACACCACGGAGGAAACTCTTCCAGATGGCGTGACTGCGGAGGATCTCATGAGTTCCGCTACCTACGTGGCCGCCAAGAGGACTGGCCTGGCCAACGCTCTGAACGTGACTGCCTCCGACATTGAAATCACGGGCTTCGCCATCACGAGCCATCCCGATCGGATCCCCTCTGCTGCCCGCCAGCTCTCGCGGGACTCACATGTCACCGTAACGACGAAGTTCACGGTGCAGATCGCTGGCAGCAACAGTGCCGAATCTCTCACCGCCGCGATTGCTGGAATGTCTGCCGCCGTTGAGGCCGAGACCAACTTGGCTATGGCTGCTTCTGACTGGAGTAGTGAACCGGTCATTACCGTGGCCCCTACGCTGACGGCTCCCTCCGTCGGCGCCGCGGGTTCGACTGCGGGAGTGACCAGTGCTCCCACGCCGGTTCCCGTGATCATGGGGGCCAGCATGGGCGCCGTCGCGGGCACCGGCGATCCCCACTTGCAGAACATCCTCGGCGAGCGCTTCGACCTCATGCAGGCGTCCGCCGCAAAACAAATACACAGACGCCCTCCAGTGGATTGTTCCTAGGCCTCTGTGGAGGGTGGCGGTGTATCAATCATCACTGGGAGCCTGCGACTTTTTACACACCGCCACCCTCCCTGAACGCACACGCAAAGCTCGTCGGCGGGTGTCTGTGTATCTATTTTTGTGGCGCAAGGCGGGCAGGCACGTCTTGGTCCAAATCCCGAGGGGCGCGCGCACCGATGGCACCCTGCTGCGCGTCGAGGCGGAGGCGCAGAGGCTCGGCGAGCTGTGCGCGGACATGTACTTCCAGGAGCTGAACCTCACGGGGAAGTGGGTGGAGGCAAAGCAGGCTGGCGGTCTCCGGTGCTCAGAGGATGAAAAGGTACCCATGCCGCTGCCCTTCCCTCGTTTTCCCCCTTCTTGGGCCCCCAGGGAGGCCCTCGTCGCCACCGCTGGATTCGCTTCGAAATTCTGGTCAGAAGGCACCCCAGGAGAGGTCCGGGAAGTAGCAGTATCGGTGTCTTTTGGTTTCCCCAGGTACCGCGCAGCAGAGGCCGTCACCGCAGATCCCAAGTGGGTGCAGTTTGGGAGGGTGGACCTCAAAGTCGCTCACGGACATACGCTGGAGGGGATCCGCTACCTCAACGTTTACGCGAAGCACTTGAACCGCGCTGGGTTCTCCGTCGGAGGCTTGCTGGGCGAAGACGATCACAGCAAGGAAGCGACCTCTCCCAAGAGCTGTAAGCATCGTCGGATGAGTCTTCTGGCAGTGCATGACGGCCAGATCATGCCCGCCGTCTCCAGCATGGAGCCTAGCTGGGCCAGCTTGGTGTAAGATGCGTTTCCAGTTCCTTTTGATCCCCTCAGTAAGGATACAAGAACTCCTGACCTGAATAACACTGGGCCGACTTTTTTGGGCCGACTTCGTCGTCCTATCGCCGGCTATGGCCGTGGGTTCTTCAGCACGTGCCGCTCGCGCCTGGGCGAGTTAGGCTGCGAGGCTGATCTTCTGACCACTTCCGCTTGCGGCCAGATCAACAGTTTGCAAGCGTCTTTTTCAGGCGTTCTGTCTCCCCACTGCTCACTGCTCACATCGATAGTCTCCTCGGGGCGGGTGGAGGAGGAGTATATTCTAGAGGCCTCCGGCCTGTGCCGCCGAGTCGGGACGCTCCAGGACGCTCCTTGCGGACTCGTCATGTTTGATAGTTTGTGAATTTTCCTCGAGGAGGCAGGAGGGAGGATGAGGGCAACGTCCGACGTTTCGAAGGTTCCAGAATCACTTGGAACGGTTCCGGGGTGATTCTGAAACCCTGACGCTCAGCGTTTCCAGTTCCAGAATCACCCTGGAGCCGTTCCGGGGTGACAAATCATCTGAGGCCCTTTCGGGATATTTTCCAAAAGGCCTTATTGAGCTCCTCACAGAAGGCCTTTGTTGAGTTCCTTACAGAAGGCCTTATTCAGCTCCTTACAGAAGGCCTTACTGAGCTCCTCACAGAAGGCCTTTGTTGAGCTCCTTACTGAAGGCCTTTGTTGAGCTCCGTACAGGAGGCCTTATTGAGCTCCGTACAGACGGCCTCATTGAGCTCCTTACACAGAAGGCGTTATTGGGCTCCTTACTGAAGGCCTTACTGGGCTCCTCACAGAAGGCCTTATTGGGTTCCGTACTGAAGACCTTACTGTGGCGTCAAACAATCTCTCGGGCGGAAGGCCGGTCCTAGGGGCTGGGTCGAGACTTTGGGGGTCGGCGTACCAACCAAACACAAGACATCGGATGTTTGGGTTCCCCTCATTGGGCTCACCCTCCAGTGCAGGCCAAAGGTTTCAGTCAAATCGCGGGTCCTCATCCTCGATCCTCGTTCCTCGAATCTAGACCCCCCCCTCACCTCCGTCTCTTGCGGGACTAGTTTTGATTACTTGTTTTGGCTATTTTTACCCGACCTAACCCTCGGGTGGCGGCCGGGCGGGAACCGTTCATGCTACGAAAGGTTCTTTAGAACGGATGCCCTACACTCCAGGTCTCCTAAATGGGGTCCGAGTAGATGAGGTCGGAGGATCGCGCCGCATCGCCGATGTATCGGCGATGCAGCTCGATGTGGAGCCTGTGTTTCCCCACGCCGACGTCGCCGATGCATTGCCGACGTCGCCGATGCATCGCCGATGCATCGCCGATACATCGGCGATGCATTGGCGATGCGGCGCGATCCTTCGACCCCATCTACTCGGACCTCATCTAGGAGGCTTCCAAGAACATCGCAATCAACAAAGCTAGCAGGACCCGGGAACCGTTCGTGCTACGAGAGGTTCTTCAGAACGGATGCCCTACACCCGCAGCAATTGTGGATCGAGCAAGCAGCTAGAGCTCTCGTCTCAGTTCTCACCTGCATATACTGTCTCACGACACGGAGCTAAAACACTCTGTTCATATACACATCTTCATTGCCCATGGCGGCCATCAAGCTCCCTATCGCCACGATCGCCCGACTTCTTCTGCCAACTCGCGGCTGGGAGGTTGTGGCCAACAAGGCGGCGCCCGACGTGCAGCTGATCCAGACTCACGTCTTGGACCACGGTTCCCACGTGCCAGCGCGCGGATCGTCTGGTTGTGTTGACAACGATGCAGGTGCAGTCCAACTTGCAAAAGATCATGTACGCGTGGACGACGTCAGTGGTTGTTCGGATGTCGGGCCGTACTGTGCGGACACGAACCTGTCGAGCCAAGTTCAGGCAGTGTGCTGCGCCACCTGCAGCCAGGGGCCCGAACCAGAGCTGGACGTGGTGCATTGCCAGGAACACTCTGATTGCCAGGATTCGGAATTCTGCTACGATGGTACGTGCGACAGCTGCAGCCAGTGCCAATTCTGCTCCGATGCTGCCTACGTCGACGAGTGTGGGCACTGCGGGCCTGGGTTCCCCTTACACGAGACAACTCCCTGCCACTCCCATGAATACGTGGTCACCAATGGGGAGCTTACGGTCACACGCGTGGAAAAATCTTTCTTCAGATGAGCAGCTGCTATTCCTGGAGAAAATGTTTGGCGAGCTCGACAAGGACAAGTCTTCGACCCTGGACGTGGACGAGCTTGTGGGAACCCTGACTGGACAGGACCTCGTCGCGATCGAAGCTGCCAACGGCACGCTCAACGCACCCTTCGACAGCGTCTTGCTTCCCAGGGCTTCGGTAGAAGAGTTTGTGGATAAGCACAGCGCCCACGGGAATGCGTTCCTGACCCTCGACGAGTGGCTCGCCACGACTCCTCAGCCCGCACAACGAGCTGCATCGCAGAAGGCGTTGCGCGGGCCCTCGTGCACCTTCGAGAGTATCTTCTCACTTCCCAGCACGTGCTCGGAAACACAATGGGTGAACAATTGCGGCAACGCTTGCAGTAACAGTTGCACCAGCTGCCCGAGGTTGGCGCACACGAATTCGAGCTCTGTGGCACGCGTTTCCAGAGATTCGAGCTCCGTCGCGCGAACGTCCCAGGAGCTTGAGTTCTGGGGCGGACGGCGTCGGCGTCGTTGGTGGAGCGTCGTCACGGATGTGGTAGACACGGTCGTAAACGTGGTTGTCTGCACTGTGAGTTGCGTCACCAACTGCGTGTGGTCGTGCTTCACCGAGGCAGTGGAGTACGTGTACACGTGCGTGGTCGACACTGTAGTAAATGTGCTCATGAGCTTCGGAGAGTGCCTCTCGGCCGTGGTGAACGCCGTCAACGATGCGGTTGGTAACATGTGCGGCTTCGATCTCATCCCCACAAGCTGTTCTGGCGTCTGGGATTGCATTTCGGAGGGGGCGAGCAACGCTCTCTCATTCTTCGAGTGTGGATTCTCGATACTTTTGGATGTGCTCGAGAACATGGTCATGGCAAATCTTCGCTGCCTGCCGAACATCGCCGACGGCATCAGGGCGGCCCTGTTTCCTCCCGAAGCGATCATTGCAACTACGGTCTTCGAGGCGTTGTGGGATTTCGGCGAGAGGGTCGTGAACGGGATCTACTCAGAAGCTGCGGCCGTGAGCATCGACTTCTGTTGGAACTCAGCCCCCACCGCCGAATTCACTGACTGTGGTGCCTTCGATTTCGTCAGCAGTATGACTATTTGGGACGTGCTTGACGTTTTCGGGATGGCCCAGCGTTTCGCGGATACCGTGGCGAAATTCACTAATTGCCTTACGAAGTCAACAAGCCTCCCGGGGCTCAGTTTCGGCATCCCCACTCCCTTCTTGAACGTTGACTGGACAGGAGGCTCGTGGTGTGCGCCAAGTTTTGTCCAAACTGCGGCCAAAGGAGTCATTGGCGTGTTCAGGTACATATCTTCAGGACGGATGCTCGATGACCTCATCATTGTAGGTGACAACCTCCTCACCAATCTTCAAACGAGGCTGGAAGCAGTGTTCTGTGACGAAGGCGACTTCACCATCACATTGGGCGTCGACCTCCAGTTCGGATACGTAGTTCTTGGAATCAAGGCCCAGGCTGGATGCCTCAATGGCAGATTCGCGGCCAAGATTGTCGGTTTTGTTACGGGCAGAATTTCCATCTTCGGTTCGCAGTTCCAGTGGGAGCTGAGCGCCTCTGCGTTCTTCAGTATCGGTTGCACGGCGGGCCCCTCCAGCACGGAGTGGTCGTACTGGGAGTCGTCTCTGAGCGGCATCCTGGCGTTCGATATTTTCTCGGGGTCGGTCTCTCTGCCCCTCTATCCACAGCCGAAGCTCGAGTTTGGCTACCAGTTCTCGCTCAAACTCTGGCCCCAACCAGCCCCTCCACCTCGTCTGTCGGAGGGGGAGTTCAACAAGACGTCGCTGCTGCCGGCGCTGCGCCTCCTCTCTGGGGCTACGTCCGACCCCAGCTTCGGCGAAAACGTCAAGAGCAAGTTTCCAGACCCCAAGCCGATCCTCGAGGGGGCCCGCAACGGCTCGCTCGAGAGGTCCAGCATGAACAGGAGTGCCGGTGACCTCGCCGGCAGGATCGCCATCTCCGTCACGAAGAATTTTTGCTTCACCTGTGACGATTTCGGATCGGAGCCTGCCTGGGTCACAGGTCTTTCCAACATGGCTCAGAAGTTCGCCTGCTCTGTGGGCCAGGCGATGACGGGAGCATCCTGGGGTGCACTGAGCCTCGCCCAATGCTTCGCCCAGGTGACGCAGTGGGAGGCGGCCGGGAACTACTGCGAGTACTTGTACTCCGACTCGCCGAACGATGGCTCCGGCAGCCCGGGGACCACTTGCGCCTGTATGCCGCCGAATGCGATGTCTTCCGGGGCTTGCCACGCAGCGGTTGGAACCAGGGCCAGCGAGGGGTCTGCGCAGTTCGTGACCTACCGGCATCAGAGGTTGACCTGCGAGACTGGGAGCGGAGCGGCCTGCAAGACTTGTGTAACGCCGCAGGACCGAGTGGTGAGAGACCAGTGTGAGACCTGCAACGACGGGCACATGTTGCTCGGCTATGTATGCTCGGCCTACACTCCGTCGCCGACGCCACATCCGACGCAGTATCCGACGCCAAGCCCGACCCCATATCCAACGCCATATCCGACGCCGAGCCCGACGCCAAGCCCGACGCCAAGCCCGACGCCATTGCCACCCGGCGCCACGCATTCTCCGACGCCAAGCCCGACGCCAAGCCCGACGTCGTTTCCGACGCAGTATCCGACGAGAAACCCGACCTCGTATCCGACGCCAAGCCCGACGCCGTATCCGACGCCAGACCCGACACCCCATCCGACGCCAGCTTTGGCGGGGGATTCATGGGTACAGTTGTTGGACAATTTTGAATACTACGGCGTCGCTATGCCCTCATATGTTACACCTATGGCCTATGGTTCGTTCACACAGCTGCGAGCAACTTACGTAGGCGGACCCGGCATCTGGTGCGATACGAGAAGGTCGGGAGGCACCGTGTGGCAACAGTGCTGCTGTGGGTATAGCGGGTCCTTCGAATTCATGAAGAATGGAGGGTACATCTTGTCGCAAAGCCAGTGGGGTACGTTGCCGCCCCAGTGCTCAGTGTCTGGGTACACAGTCACTTGCAACGTTAATTTTGCTCTGTCGAGTGGCGATACGATCCTCGCTACTTGGATGGAGCCTTCCCGGGGGGTGTCGCTTGCTGACAATGGCGGCAGCATCGTGGTGGACGTGTACGGATATGGAACGGTATCGCAAGGTTGGTCTAAAATATACCAGATCCAGGATGGCGATAGGGGGTCCTATTCTTTCCCCTTGACAACCGGCGCTTATGGTAGCATTTCCTCGGCGATCGGTTCAAGTCATGCAAAGTTGTCAGATTCTGAGATCAACTCCATGGCGGTGGCGAGGGACGGCTACTCGCACGTTTATCAAATCAAGAGTTCGGATTGCTCTTCGTACCTGTACATCAAGTCGAACGACGCTTACGTTGACACATCGGCATCATTCGGCCTTACCAAGGGCAATACTTTGGTTGGGCTCGGGACCTCATATGGGGCGGTGTCGACATGGGCCACTTTGCCTTCCACCAGCCACGGCATAGACTTGCTCTACACCAGCCCCAATCTCGGTGGGGAGTCGTGCTGCCGTTATTTCTTCGGGCATGGGTCGGTCGATTGTTGGGCCGGCCCCTCGGGTTACCGCTGCGTCAACGGTGGGTCCGCTTGCTCCAGCTATAAGAAGCTGGAAGATGTCGCGTTCTACATCTGGGCGGGCGGAGCGACGTACAGTCCCACGTCCTACCCGACCCCTCGCCCAACGCCGTTCCCGACGGCCCACCCGACGCCAGACCCGACGCCCCTCCCGACCCCAGTTCCCACGCCCTACCCGACGAAGCAGCCAACGCCAAACCCCACGCACAGCCCGACTCCAAGCCCGACGCTGTACCCGACGCCGTTTCCGACGCCAAGCCCGACGGCGAGCCCGACTCCAAGCCCGACGCCGAGCCCGACGGCGACGCCGACGGCGAGCCCGACGGCAACCCCGACTGCATATCCAACGCCAAGTCCGACGCCAAGCCCGACGCCAATCCCGACGCGGATCCCCACGTCTGCGCCCACCTACCCCCCGCTTGGGGACCTGGCATCCTCGGGCACTTGCAGCTGCTCCAGCCCCCCCTGCGGCTGCAACTGCTGGGATTGCACACAAGAGCGTAAAGCTGCTGGATGCTGCAGCTGCGGGGATGCTTCGAGTTGCGGTTATGCAGACGTGGTTTCTTCCGTGTGCGACGGCTGCAATGGTTGTTGGCGCAATGGAAAGTGTGGTTGCAGCACAGACTCGGCTACCTGGCCCTACTATGAGGCATTCGGTCTCACGTGCTCGAGTGATAGAGGCAGCTACCTGTCCTACCACTACGTGTCACCGACGCCGGCTCCAACGCCAAGCCCGACGCCAAGCCCGACACCATTGCCACCTGGCGTCACGCTGTCTCCGACCCCGAGCCCGACGCCAAGTCCGACGCCAAGCCCGACGCCAAGCCCGACGCTCTCGGAGGCGCAGAAAACTTGCGGGTGCTCGAGCCCACCCTGTGGTTGCAACTGCTGGGATTGCACAGAAGCGCGCAAAGCTGCTGGATGCTGCAGCTGTGAGGATGGTTGTGGCTTTTTCGATCTCGCAAATTCTAAGTGCGATGGCTGCAATGGTTGCTGGCACGGTGGCCTCTGCGGTTGCAGCACCGAACCGTCTACCTGGCTTTACTATAGGGCATTCGGTCTCACGTGCTCGAATGAAACAGGCAGTTACTTGTCTAATTACGCACAGATCGCTGGCGAGTACACCACGGAGGAAACTCTTCCAGATGGCGTGACTGCGGAGGATCTCATGAGTTCCGCTACCTACGTGGCCGCCAAGAGGACTGGCCTGGCCAACGCTCTGAACGTGACTGCCTCCGACATTGAAATCACGGGCTTCGCCATCACGAGCCATCCCGATCGGATCCCCTCTGCTGCCCGCCAGCTCTCGCGGGACTCACATGTCACCGTAACGACGAAGTTCACGGTGCAGATCGCTGGCAGCAACAGTGCCGAATCTCTCACCGCCGCGATTGCTGGAATGTCTGCCGCCGTTGAGGCCGAGACCAACTTGGCTATGGCTGCTTCTGACTGGAGTAGTGAACCGGTCATTACCGTGGCCCCTACGCTGACGGCTCCCTCCGTCGGCGCCGCGGGTTCGACTGCGGGAGTGACCAGTGCTCCCACGCCGGTTCCCGTGATCATGGGGGCCAGCATGGGCGCCGTCGCGGGCACCGGCGATCCCCACTTGCAGAACATCCTCGGCGAGCGCTTCGACCTCATGCAGGCGTCCGCCGCAAAACAAATACACAGACGCCCTCCAGTGGATTGTTCCTAGGCCTCTGTGGAGGGTGGCGGTGTATCAATCATCACTGGGAGCCTGCGACTTTTTACACACCGCCACCCTCCCTGAACGCACACGCAAAGCTCGTCGGCGGGTGTCTGTGTGTCTATTTTTGTGGCGCAAGGCGGGCAGGCACGTCTTGGTCCAAATCCCGAGGGGCGCGCGCACCGATGGCACCCTGCTGCGCGTCAAGGCGGAGGCGCAGAGGCTCGGCGTGCTGTGCGCGGACATGTACTTCCAGGAGCTGAACCTCACGGGGAAGTGGGTGGAGGCAAAGCAGGCTGGCGGTCTCCGGTGCTCAGAGGATGAAAAGGTACCCATGCCGCTGCCCTTCCCTCGTTTTCCCCCTTCTTGGGCCCCCAGGGAGGCCCTCGTCGCCACCGCTGGATTCGCTTCGAAATTCTGGTCAGAAGGCACCCCAGGAGAGGTCCGGGAAGTAGCAGTATCGGTGTCTTTTGGTTTCCCCAGGTACCGCGCAGCAGAGGCCGTCACCGCAGATCCCAAGTGGGTGCAGTTTGGGAGGGTGGACCTCAAAGTCGCTCACGGACATACGCTGGAGGGGATCCGCTACCTCAACGTTTACGCGAAGCACTTGAACCGCGCTGGGTTCTCCGTCGGAGGCTTGCTGGGCGAAGACGATCACAGCAAGGAAGCGACCTCTCCCAAGAGCTGTAAGCATCGTCGGATGAGTCTTCTGGCAGTGCATGACGGCCAGATCATGCCCGCCGTCTCCAGCATGGAGCCTAGCTGGGCCAGCTTGGTGTAAGATGCGTTTCCAGTTCCTTTTGATCCCCTCAGTAAGGATACAAGAACTCCTGACCTGAATAACACTGGGCCGACTTTTTTGGGCCGACTTCGTCGTCCTATTCCCGGCTATGGCCGTGGGTTCTTCAGCACGTGCCGCTCGCGCCTGGGCGAGTTAGGCTGCGAGGCTGATCTTCTGACCACTTCCGCTTGCGGCCAGATCAACAGTTTGCAAGCATCTTCCTCAGGCGTTCTGTATCCCCACTGCTCACTGCTCACATCGATAGTCTCCTCGGGGCGGGTGGAGGAGGAGTATATTCTAGAGGCCTCCGGCCTGTGCCGCCGAGTCGGGACACTCCGGGACGCTCCGTGCGGACTCGTCATGTTTGATAGTTTGTGTATCTTACCTCGAGGAGGCAGGAGGGAGGATGAGGGCAACATCCAACGTTTCAGAGGTTCCAGAATCACTTGGAACAGTTCCGGGGTGATTCTGAAACCCTGACGCTCAGGGTTTCCAGTTCCAGAATCACCCTGGAACCGTTCCGGGGTGACAAATCATCTGAGGCCCTTTCGGGATATTTTCCAAAAGGCCTGATTGAGCTCGAAGGCCTTATTGAGCTCCTTACAGAATGCCTTATTGAGCTCCTTACAGAAGGCCTTATTCAGCAAGAAGGCCTTTGTTGAGCTCCGTACTGAAAGCCTTTGTTGAGCTCCTTACTGAAAGCCTTTGTTTTGAGCTCCTTACGCAGAAGCCCTTACTGAGCTCCTTACAGAAGGCCTTACTGTGCTCCTTACCGAAGGCCTTATTGGGCTCCTTACTGAAGGCCGTATTGGGACGTCAAACAACTACTGGGGCAGAAAGTTGGTCCTAGGGGCTGGGTCGAGAATTTTGGGGTCGGCGTACTAAACAAAAACGAAGCATATGATGTTTGGGTTCCCTTCATTGGGCTCACCCTCAGGTGCAGGGCCAAATGTTTCAGGAACAACGTGGGTCCTCATCCTCGATCCTCGCTCCTCGAGTCCAGAACGCCCCCTCTCTCACCACCCTCTCCTGCGGGGCGGAGGAGATGACGCTCAGCATCGTGGCAAAGTGCTTCGCGCTGCTGAGGAGAGGCCCCCTCTCCGGGCGCACCGCGTCGCAGGCTGCCGCTGCGGGCCGGAGGAGACCGAGGAGGGGGAGGAGGAGGAGGAGGAGGAGGAGGAGGAGGAGGAGGAGGAGGAGGAGGAGGAGGAGGAGGAGGAGGAGGAGGAGGAGGAGGAGGAGGAGGAGGAGGAGGAGGGGAGGAGGAGGAGGAGGAGGAGGAGGAGTCGGAGGAGGAGGAGCAGAAGGAGGAGGAGGCTGACACAAAGCAGATTTTGCACAAGAGCAGTCGCGAACTCAGCGCGAAAGCCTCGCGCGCGCGCTTTGGAACCACAGGGACTCCACAATCCCCCGTTCTCGAGGAGGATGAGGAGGATGACCTCGGTTCGGTTGGTCAGGGTTTGCTGAGCGCTCTTCATTTCTCTGGGCCTCAGTGATGCTTCTCGTCGCCGCGGCTGGATTCCCTTCGGGGGTTCGGGTGCAGACGCAGCCCTGGAGAGTTGCGGGGGTCGGCTGTGATGGAGGATGCAGGAGGAGGAGACGGAGGAGGTGGACAGGAGGAAGAAGGAGGAGGAGGAGGAGAAGGAGGAGGAAGAAGGAGGAGGAGGAGGAGGAGGACAACGAGGAGGAGGTGCTGCAGGAGGAGGAGGCGGAGGAGTCCGAGAAGGAGGAGGAGGACCAGTGTAAACCCAAGACGCATCAACGATGTTGCAGTGCACCGTCCCTCCAAGTTCCCTCTTCATATGTCCCCACATGAATTAGTTTGAATTGTGGGGAGTGACCCATGAGGTGGCAACCGTCAGATAATCCTCAACCGTGCCAACACGCAGTTCATGGACTTCAGAGCCGCGGATCAGCGTGACTCTTGCGTCCTCAGAATCCGAAGTCATGCCATAACTTCATTCCTGGGACTTCACCACGGCGAATCAACGTGACTGTTAGTGACAATGCTAAGCCGTGCATCAACAGTTTTCTTGGGACTTTGACCATACTAACCCTTGAAGCTGTTGAACTTTGTTCAAACGGATGTGCACGGCAATGCGGCGAGAGCCAAATTTTGAAACGTAACCTCCCTCCATCCTTGAAGCTGTTGTGCACCTTTCAGACGAACGTGTGCGGTGCCCAGGCGAGGCCCACATATTGAAAAGGATCCGCCCTCAATCCGTGAAGCTGATGCAGCATTTGAAGACGAATGTGTGCAGCGCTAAGGCGGCAGTCACATTTTCAAACCGACCCGTCTTTCATCCGTGAAGCTGTTGCAACATTTGAAGACGAATGTGCGCGGCGCAAAGGCGAGAGCCTCATTTTGGAAAGCTGCCCGCCCTCCATCCGTGAATCTCTTGCGAGCTTCAAGCTTCATGATCCATAGACGGCGAGGAAGTCGCAGGCGAAACGCCCGGCCCGCCCTGCCGACACGTCCAGGGGTGCGGCAGGGAGGCGTTGTATACATATCAGGAAGGGGATGGGGGAGCAAGAGAAGGAGGAACGGGAGGAGTGCTAAGAGGAGGAGAATGGGGGAGAAGGAGGAGGAGGGGGGGGAGGAGGAGGAAGACGAAGAAACAGAAAAAGAGCGGGAGGAGTGGCAGGAGGAAGGAAGTAGGAGGAGTAGGAGGAGGAAGAGGAGGAGGAGGAGAAGGAGGAGGAGGAGGAGGAGGAGCGGGAGGAGTGAGAGGAGGGGGGCAAGAAGGAGTAGTAGGAGGAGGAGAAGGATGAGGACGAGGATGTTCTCGAGCTTCTCGGAGGTCCTCGGAACGTATCGGATGATTGCAGCGCTTGTCGGCTCATGATGATCATGATGTTGAGGTGATGATGGTGCTGATGATGATGGTGCTGATAATGATGATGATCATCATGATGATGATCATCATGATGATGATAATCATCCGACAGCTCAAAAACAAGAAGGCACCAGACACCAACGGCATCAGCGCCGATATGCTCAAGGCAGGAGGACAAGCTCTACGATCCAGTCTACTGGCACTCTTTAACGCTATCTTACAGCCGGGCGCTACTATACCAGCAGCGTGGTCACACACTGACATCAAAGTTCTGTTCAAAAGTGGGGATCCACGGCTGCCGGAAAATTGCAGACCGATTGCCACAATTCCGCTATTATACAAGTTGTTTTCCCGACTCCTGCATAACAGGCTGCACGATGTCCTCGACGCAAGCCAGAGCGCCGACCAAGCTGGCTTTCGCCCGGGTCGGAGCACCGCCGACCACCTTTTCACGTTATCTATATTGCAAGAAACTGCTGACGAGTGGCAATTACCTTTGTGGGTGGCGACAATTGATTTCAAACAGGCGTTTGACAGCGTCACGCATGAGAGCATTTGGGCGGCCCTTGCAGTCCAGGGGGTCCAACGACCATACATAGATTTCTTACACAAGCTGTATTCCAAACGGACAGGAGCAATACGCACTGACCATGTGAGCAAACATTTCTCTATACAGCGAGGCGTAAAACAGGGAGACCCTATCAGCTCTCTTTTCTTCAACAGCGTCACGGAACATCTGATGCGTTCGCTGACATTCCTTTGGGACAAACAAAACATTTGCATTTCACTTGGTCATCAAGCACGCTCCAAACTCACCAATTTACGTTTCGCTGATGGCATACTTCTTGTATCATCGTCTTCTGATCACATCACGAGCATGTTATCCGACCTCAGCACACAAGCGTCACACATCGGCTTACACTTGCATCCCAGCAAGACGAAGATATTACACAACGGCCACGGATTCACTCACAGGGGACGACCTCCAGCACATGTACATGCGAACGGCATGGTAATCGAAGTAATACCTCCCTACCGCTTCATTAAATATTTGGGAACAAGAATACAATTTGCAGGACAGCACAAAGCCGAACTCGACAACAGGATCGCCGCTGCATGGAAGAAGTTCCACATGCTGAAGGGAGAACTAACAGACAAATCATACTCTTTACGTGACCGACTCCCGCTGTTCAGTGGCACGATTACACCGACTGTGCTATATGGTAGCGAAAGCTGGACATTTACACGTGATATGCAACATACATTGAACAAGATCCAGCGCCGGATGCTCCGCATGATCGTGCGTGCGCCGAGACGACTGCTATTGCCTGGCTCAAACACCGACGCCGCTCCGCCCCCCGACCTGGACACCGACGTCATCGAGGCTGACC